TCAAAAACATTAAAATAAATCTCAGTTATCCCAAACTTTTAACCAGTAGCATAACTACTTAATACTTTTTCAAACTGTAGCTTGACACCAGTAACTTGTAGCTTCCACAGCACTGATTTGTACTTGGTTACAATGGCTTTTGATAGGACTGTGGTGCAGTAGTTCAGGGTCGTCAAGGTCCGTTGAGCTGTGGTGCTCATGTGGGTGACACAAGTCCCAGTCCAGCTTCTGATGTCCTGATCTGACTCCCCTGTCTTTCTCCAATGATTTCCTGCTGGTCTCCATAATAACTGTCCAGTAAAATTAAATAAAGTAACACGTTTAAGGTGTGTGTTACAAGTTGCATGCACGATTTTGAATGCATTTTTACTCTACTTCTAACCTGTCCTTCCACAGATCTCCTACTCTCTCTATATATACCCTCTGTACTCTGTTCCCTCCCTCTCCTTATTTGCCCTCGTCTTCCTCACAGGCTGAGGTATTTATCATCTTTATTCGAGGAGTTTGAGAGTTGTGGGTCGGCTGCAGTGTTGGGCTGATGAATGGGGCAGTCAGTGATGTGCAGCCACCTCAGGGGGCCAAACGAGACAGCTATTTAGTGACTGAACAAGACACATCGCTGGAGAGAAATGCTGACTATGACCCCAAGAACACCATCCCTACAGTCAAGCACAGAGGTGGAAACATTATGCTTTGGGGATGTTTTTCTGCAGGACAACTTCATCGCATTGAGGGGCAAATGGACGGGGCCATGAACTGTAAAATCTTGGACGGAGACCTCCTTCCCTCAGCCAGAACACTGAAGATGGGTCTTCCAGCATGACAATGACCCAAAACATACCACCAAGGCAACAAAGGAGTGGCTCAAGAAGAAGCACATTAAGGTCATGGAGGGGCCTAGCCAGTCTCCAGACCTCAATCCTATAGAAAATCTGTGGAGGGAGCCGAAACTTTGAGTTGCCAAACGACAGCCAAGAAACCTTAAGGATTTAGAGAGGATCTGTAAAGAGGAGTGGATCAAAATCCCTCCTGAGATGTGTGCAAACCTGGTGACCAACTACAAAAAACGTCTTACCTCTGTTGTTGCCAACAAGGGTTTCTGCACCAAGTACTAAGTCATATTTTGCTTGGGGATCAAATACTTATTTCACTCACTGAAATGCAAATCAATTTCTAACCTTTATATAATGTGTTTTTTCTGGATTTTTTATTTGGTATTCTGTCTCTATCCATTAAAATAAAACTACCATAAAAATTACAGACCCTTCATTTCTTTGTAAGTGGGCAAACTTACAAAATCAGCAGGGGATCAAATAAATATTTTCCCCACTGTATATATATATATATTAAATGTTGTTGTGCCATGTCAGGGGTATCAAAGAGATGGCCACAGAATGGCCTGAGAAAAAAGTGACAATACATTAAACAATTAAATTAAAACATTGGTTTTCTTTTTCACAGCCGTCATATATTTGAATAATTACACCAATTAATTTGTCTAGTTTTTGCCATTAATTATCTGTGTAAAGTTTCTGTATGCTGTAGGTTAGCTATATAAACTCTATAAAATAAGAAGAATGCATTTCATAGTGCCTATTTTAATTTTTTTAATCAATATTTTATTCTTTATCAATCATGAAGGCAACTAGGCAAGTTTTATTTTCAGTGAATGCCCATTTGATAATACATTTGTCCCCCCCCCCCCCCCCCCCTTTAATATTGCTGTTTGATTAATATAAAGTTTCATATGTATATGGATTACTCCAGTATTGGTTATTAAAGCAGCATAGCTGATTTTTCACTAGGCATGTACATTGGCTCTGCATGGCTACACCAAGGTTTAACAAATAAACTGAATATTTGTAACAGGTACCAATTAGTTCAGACCTAAAATGAGTTTGACACTCGTGTACTATGGCAACATGCATGCCCTTTGAACTTAGAGTAAGACATGAAAGTCTTAAGGCAAGCTGTCAGATGTGGCATAAGGCCAGGCTAAACGGCTTTGAATTAGAAAGCTCTTTTAGAGCGAATCTTTTCAATGACTCCAAGATCTCTCCAAGAAGCTAAGAATAAACAGAAACAAGAACAAAATTATATAAAATAAAATAAAAATACAGTTAAAGATTTGGATATTCTATATGGAAAGGCTGAGATACAATGATTTTAGTTTCCATTAAATCATTACATAGTTAGAATCACATATTACAGCATTAAGGATTTTTAAAATAAAATGAATACTAATTCATATATATAACTTTAAAAAGAATATGTTGGAAAGTCACTTCAATTTATGAATTTATGAAACACTACACTAGACATAGCGTATAGATTGTTTACAACAGAATGAACATATAAACAAATAGCTATTTATAAAGTGTATACGATCCTTAATAGGGAGTTAATCGTTCAATAATGTTCAATAATAATTACTTTGCCTTAAGAATGGACTTACCTTTTTAAGGCAGGACATCCGTGGCCGATAACGTTGTCCATGGTCTCGGTCCGATCTTATAGTCATTTTGTAGTCCGTAAAAAAATAATTTTAAGGGCAGAAAACAAATCTTGTTGTGACCAGCCTTAATGACAATATAATTGTATATATTCCCTGCTGCACGTCACGCACACACACCGGGGAAGACAGCGAGCAGCAAACATGAGAAAGACAGCGGACCAATCACAGCGCAGCTCTGTTATCTGCCGTCACTGCTCTCACACACCGACAGGCGGCGACAGACAGAGAGACCGACACTGTCTGTCGCCACTGCTTCCCATGGGGAACTGTAGGAATACTTCATTTCATTTTATCTGCGATGTTTTTCCATCACCAGAAATTGCCGTTTCAGTTACAGCCTGATTAAAGGCCTATAAGAAGTTCCTCAGATGGGCTAGATTGATTCAGATGGGCTGAATGTAATCTTTCAGAAACAGTAAGCAGATGCATTGTACAGGTGCATTCCAGTTTGGGATGTCAACATGGCAGTCCCCATGAGCATGTAACCTGCTCCAAGTAGAATAGCTAATTTTAGAAGACTGATACATCTAGTTATCATCTCATGTGATTGTAAATCATTTTAGGATATTTCTCAAAAATGCTACTGAATCATGTTTGATACATGAATTTCTAAGGCCTGTAAATTACCAAAATGATCAACACGTTGCTGAAAACCTGTTGCACACAATCGTCTACATGCAATCTGCCCTCTGATTGATAGTTCATACTTTTTTTTTAGCAAATAAAAGGTCTTATAGTAGATATAGTAGGTCTTATATAGGTCTTATATAGTTCAAAATGCTCCACCTTCAGGTCATGTTCTTTTTGCTATAAAATATAATGACTTTGATAAAGTAATCATGCACATACCTTTTATATTGGTATTACTATTTCAAGATGAACATTTACTGGATCAAAGCCTTTTTAAAATTAAAAATCATGTTAAAATGTATAAAATATTAGGCTACATTTATTTGTACATGTCTTAATCATCTTTGTACTGCATTGCATTATGTTACAAAATACAGAGCTCTGATCATAAAACTAAGCATTTAAATATCAACTTACAAAAATAACTTACATATATTATTATATATACAGTGACAAATGATATATGCATGTTTTACTAAGTAGCCTGCTATAGACATACTGTTATATAACTTAATTAAAACTTAAAAATATATATCTTAATTTTTGGCCATTACAACAGCTGTACCAACTGTATATTTCTGCTCACTTTGGACTTTTAATTAAAATGTGTGTTTTTTATTCCTCAAATGTGAGCTTCATATTCTCAGTATATCATATTATGTGATAAAGCCTGATCAAATAGGATACAAAACAGTGGTCAACCGATATATTGCAAAGGCTGATATATTGGCCGATATTTGACGTTTTTCAAATATCGGCAGTGGCCGATAAGTTTTTCTGTTTGGCCGATGTGTTCGGCCAATAAAAAATTATTCCCAATGCACACAAACTTCCCAGATTACTGAGAGCCCTGTTGGTTACAGAGTTTACTTCCTTTTTATTTATATATATATATTTAATATTAGAAGCTACTTGACTTCATCATCATCATTATAAAAAAAAAAAATTCTCTAATGTTTAGGAGCCCAAACTTTAAAAATTGTTTTTGTTCATTTATTTTACATTTTTCTGGTCTAATCACGATCAGATTTTTTCTAGATCCTGCATTAAATTTATATTTTGACCTCACTATTCGGGGAACAGACACAGTCTTTATAGATTGGACAGCGCAAGTACTTCTATCATTTAAGCGGGTAGAACACAAGTCATCAGGGCAGTTATTTGAGATTTGACTTACTAGTCATATGGTGCGTAGCGTCCTGGAGATGTTGTCCATTGTCTTTAAGAAGAATCGCTTTATGTATCCCCAAATTGTAAGTCGCTTTGGATAAAAGCGTCTGCAAAATGACTAAATGTAATGTAAATGTAATATTAATATTTGTTATTTATTTTTTTATTTCTTTATTTGTGAAAAAATACTGTAATATGATTACAGAATCAAGTAGTTGTCATTTAAAGTATGTTTATTTTACACATTTATCATTTTCAAATTATTTCAAATTTCTTAAATATTAATTAGAATAAATAAAATTATATATATTTCGGCTTTATATCGGCCATCGGCCACCCTGCTCTCTAAGATATCGACATCGGCTGTCAAAAAACCAATATAGGTCGACCACTACAAAAACTTTAAACACGTGCAAACTTTTTAAAAACATTTTGTTTAAAGGTCCAATAAACTGTTCCATAAAAAGTAGATTTTTCTGACTGTGCAGGGTTAAAAATCTTTGTGCAAAAGTGTTAATTTAGAACTAAACATATACTGAGTGCACCTTTAAGTAGCCGACCGACACCTCGTGTGGCTGAACATTGGCCCGTCCCGTACATTTCGTAGTTCGAACCCACCCCAAACTTTCAGAGTACTGCGCGCGCGCGCCACTGTTATGGTAACGGCCCCGCCCGCTTCTAGCACTGCGGCGCGCGCAGTTTCACTCCCTACTGTATCGATGAAGTTGCACAAAGATGGCGGATTTCCTGCCGTCCCGGTCCTTTCTATCCGTTTGTTTTCCAAACTGTCTTCTCAACAGCAGCGAGGCGGAACAACTGAGGAAATCTAAAGAAATAGACCGAGGTCTTTTGAAAGACAAAACCTATGTGAAACGGTTAGTGAAGATACTTCTGCTCGGCGCCGGAGAAAGCGGCAAGTCCACTTTCCTCAAGCAGATGCGCATCATACACGGCCAGGACTTCGACCAGCGGGCCAAAGAGGAGTTCAGAGCCACCATTTACAGTAATGTTATGAAAGGTATGAGGCGCGTTTCTCATCAAAGTGCCATATGGGGTCTAAACTTGACTTTAAACGGGGTCGGGAGGGATGAGAGGCTAGCGAAATGAGGTTTAGCTAGCGTTAGCTGAAGTTGCGCTGTAACCTGCCCAGGAGAAACGCCCATGTTATTCTCTCAACTTTTCAGCGTCGCGGTCGTGCACAAAGACCTCGGCGAAACACTTGATTTCTGTCTAAAGTGTTTCCTAGTTTGTCGCCTCATTAAAAGTGTGATTCCCCTCGCTCTTGTGATTTCAGAGGTCTAGAAAGACGAGACTCGAGTTTGAATTTCATCAGAAATGAACGTTAGCGCTCAAGGGTTTAACGGCTTCGTAAAGAACTCGACTCCCCAGATTCATGTAAATTCCTACTACTTTAAAAGTTGCACAAATGTTCTTTTCTGAAATTGTGTACTCATAATGACCCTAATTTTGGCTTTTTACCAGAATCTCGGGGCTGTTTAAAGAGCTGCTAAATCTCTAACAAAGAGACTGGTTTCAACCGAGGGCACACCACTCACTAAACTCATATTCAAAGCCTACAGACCCTTATTTATTGGCTTCATTGTGGCATTTTTACATTTTAAATGAAAGGGTGATTTTCAAATATATATATATATATATATATATATATTAGTAGTAAAGGACGTGTCTGAATTCACGTGTTTGGGCATCTGTGAAATGGGTGGAGTCCAGAGCTCTTAGACTACTAGCACATGATGAGAACATGGGTTTACAGTGGCACTAACCACTCACTAACACCTGTTATGGAAACAAACCAGCTTTACTGTTTCTGCCAGAGTTTTCAGACAATTTGGAAAGAGCTAAAGTTGTCAGACGATCCTCACTTTTGTCATATGTGAGTTAAGAGTTTAAGGCAAGTGTGTCTTTTATTCTTTTTGGAGTTCATGTCAGGTTTCCATCATCTCTCTTTTTGTCTTTCAAAAGGGGATGTAATAAATGATCAGTACCCACCTTATTTAATAGGGGGCTCCCCGTTTAGGCTGCCTCAGCTGGGGATTTCCAGTGCCTATATTGCTATGAAAAGATTTGAGATTTCCTGTATGAGATTAATATGTCACAACGGTCATCATTTACGAAGGCACCACAATGACAAATGGTTCAGCTGTGATCTCATGGAGACTCGTCTGTAGCATCGCTAACATCATGTCGTTCCCTAGCTCAACTTAAATAGGAAGTATTTAGTCAAATGGCTGCTTGGATCTAATCCTAAAGCCTTCCAGAAAACACACGGAAATTTCTCCTTATAATGCCTGGAGACAGAGAAAAAGCACTTTAACAATCAGTAGCATTTCGAATGCTTTCTCATGTTTCACTCCAGCTTCTGAACGTGTACCTGTGAAGATGTTGTGTTTGAAGCAGAATGGTTTCTCACTGTTTGACAGGTTGGTTTGGTCAAAAGTTTGGGTTTGTGAGATTTTCTTTCAGTGTTTTTGAAAGAAGTCTATTATGCTCGCCCAGGCTGCAATTAGCCTATTTGATAAAAAAAAAAGTACAGCAAAAACAAAACTTATTTTTTTTAATTTATATATTTGAATGTAATTTATTGCTGTGATGCAAAGCTGAATTTTCAGCAGACTTTACTCCAGTCTTCAGTGTCACATGATCCTTCAGAAATCATTTTAATTTGCTGATTTGGCGCTCCGGAAGCATTTCTTCTTATCAATGTTGAAAAAAGTTGTGCTGCTTAATATTTTTGTGGAAACCACAATAGATTTTTTCCAGAAGTCTTCTCTATCAATTTTGAGCAATTAAATGCATGCTTGCTGAATAAAAGCATTAATTTCTTTTTTTGAAAAATCTTACAGACTCCAAACTTTAGAATGGTAGTCCAAAAGAATTGATTTAAAGCTTTTACTCAGGCTTGTACAGATGATTCTCTTTGGTATAGAAATGTTTGAGGGCAGATGTGAACTACTTATAATGCACTTTGATAGAGCCTGACGTAGGACTGCAAAAATTAAACAAATGCATTTGCTTCAGCTGGACTGTGTAAGATCATCAAACTTGTATTCAGAGTAGGGCTGTGTAAAAAAATCGAATGCGATTTTCATGCGCATCTCGTCAGTAAAGCCGCTCCTGTGATTAGTAGTGATGTGCGTTCAGATGGAGCGGCATTTACGACACAGAGCCGTAGTTCACTGACAAGCTATACAAAATCACGTTCAAAATCGGCAATGAAACGCCTGTGATTTTGAATGTGATTTTGTGTAGCTTGTCAGTGAACTACGGCTCTGTGTAGTAAATGCTGCTCCATCTGAACGCACGTGCTGGAGATTTACTACTAATCACAGGAGCGGCTTTA